AAACTGTATTTATGGCTTACTGTTGTGCATTTAAACTTCAGCCGCCATTGATAGTTGTTAAAAGTTGTTAAACCTGTGCATATGAAACAAAAAACGCCTTTTGTTTATTGATTTATTGTGAAAAACGGAAGTTGTGCTTGCTCCTTTTCCTGTTGGGCGGTTGTGATTTCTGTCCATTTACTGCGGAGGTGCTCCGGCGTCCGGCAAAAATAGGATTGATTCTATTTTTGCCGGACGCCGGAACAGAGGGCGGCGCACTGCGCCGGACTGTCTGAGCACGGCCGCAGTAGTGGAATTGCTCTGATTGACTACAACGGGACCGATTTTGCTCCGGCGTTCGTGTCGGAGCGGAGCGGAGGTAGTGGAATTTGGGGATTAGGCACACCTGTACATTATTCATGCTGTCTAATCAGCTCTTTAATGTGCCACACCTGTGAGGTGGGATGGATTATCTTGGTAAAAGAAAAGTGCTCACTAGCACACATGTAGACAGATTTTAGAACAATATTTGAGAGTCATGGGTCTTTTGTGCATGTAGAAAAAGTTTCAGATGTTTGAGTTCAGCTCATGAAAAATGGGAGCAAAAACAAAGGTGTTGCATTTTTTTCAGTGTAAATGTTTATTCCTATAATGATTTATTTCAGATCTCATTTGCACGATATTAATATATTTGTGGAATTTAATAATTTGTTCATCAGTATATTCACACGTTAACTTATTCACTGCCAATGACGACTAAAGTAGTCATTTGCATTTTTTTACTGTCTGGGCATTGGAACAAGCCCCCGCGCTGAGAGAACAAACATCTCAGCTCTGAAGCCAATCTTCATCCGCATACGTCACAAGTCCCATGATCAGGAAGCAGAACCTCCATGTGTTAGTTCGCTTTGGCCCGTTCCTGAAAAAAAGTGAGGCGCGAACTGGAAAAGCGTCTGCCGATCACAATTCGACAATGGATTATGAAAGAACGGATAACGCTCGAAACACGCGGATTCTTCCTGATGTAAGAGGTGAGTCTCCGCTTTATTTTGGTTGTTTTGGTGTCAACATCATCCTAGCGTGCAACGTTCTTGACTCTTAAATAAACAGTAAAAACGGTGAGAAACGCTGGCAGCAAAGGCTTTACCGATCAGGAAACGGCTGGCAGTGAATGAGTTAATTATATTATTATGAATGTGTATTATATTTACTTCACATTAATCTTTAATAAGGGCTACTCCACATTAGGCAAAATAACCTAGAGTATTTGAGAAATACGTGGCGTCTGAGGTCTTTGATAACTGCCCTCTTTAACTCATTCTCTGCCAGCTGTTTCCTGATCGGTAAAGCCCTTTGCTGCCAGCGTTTCTCAAAGTTTTGACAGTTTTTATAAGACTCACAGAACGGTGAACGCTAGGATGATATCAACGCCAAAACAACCAAAACAAGGCGGAGACTAACCTCTTACATCATGAAGAATCCGTGCGTTTCGACCTTTATCCGTTCTTTCAAAATCCGTTGTTGAATTGTGATCGGCAGAAGCTTTTCCGGTTCACGCCTCACTTTTTTACAGCAACGGCCCAAAACTATCTCCTAACACATGGATATTCTGCTTCCTGATCACGTGACGTGTGACGTATGCGGATGAAGATCGGCTTTAGAGCTGAGATGTTTGTTCTCACGGTACGGGGGCTTGTTCCGATGCCCACACAGTAAAAACTAGGGATGCACCGATCAGGTTTTTTGCTGCCGATCACCGATACCGATATCAAAGAATGCTGATCACCGATACCGATCACTGATACCGATCACGTGGATTGGCCAGAAATGTTCTACAACATTATAATGAGTGCTACAAACTACATAATCTGGGAATAAGGAAATGCAACCTAATCTAAAATGGTCTGTATTAGGGTTGTCACAGTGTGAAAATTTAACCTCACGGTTATTGTGACCCAAATTACCACAGTTTTCAGTATTATTGCAGTATTTCTTTTAAACGTGCTACATTTTCACACAATTAAATAAACCCTGTATGTCAGGAAATATTGTCCTCAGTTTGTGTCTAAATTTTGCCTAAAATGTGTTATTTTGTAATTATGTTGTTTGTTTACATTTTTTCCCTTTAGTCTTTAAAATACCAATATTTGCCCATAACTTCTTATTTTATGTCTGTTTGATGTCATCATTTTAAAAATATTAGATCAGATGACACTCAGTACTCAAGTAGCCTTCTAATCAGATACATTTTTTTTACCCTTACTTGAGTAATAAACCCTATATCAGGAAAATATTGTCCTCTGTTTGTGTCCTTCCAGTGAGCTTTGCAGATGTGGGAAAATGTCGTCAGGCAGTAATCATTGTTAAATTCATAATTATTCTCGGAGAGAGACCAACTCTTATCTGCCCCTGGGAGCCCCGTAATGCATAACGTCATTTCAATATTGGGGGTGTCCGCGACACGGTTTATATGCAGGTAGCGGCGCTGCAGCTGCTTTATGTGAGTCGTGGTGGATGGCTGCTTATACTGAGCCAGGATTCTCTGGAGGTTTCTTCCTGTTAAAAGGGAGTTTTTCCTCTCCACTGTCACTGCATGCTTGCTTAGTAGGAGGATTACTGGATAGTCACTGACACTAGTCAGTGACTTGATGCAATTTGCTGGGTTCCTTATATAGGACACATTATTTCTGATTGGCTTAATGAACTGTGAATTGGAATGTTTATTATGTGAAGTGCCTTGAGACGACTCTTGTCGTGATTTGGCGCTATATAAATAAACTTGAATTGAATTATATTGCGACTCGTTGCATTCTCCCTCAACCCAAATCCTCGGATCACGCATTTTAGCTAAAAAGCTAACGTTAGCTTGCCTTGCATTGACTGTGGAGTTGTGGGTGATGGTCACGCAGATTTGTCGTCATGAGATTTGAAGCGTTGCTGCCTTTCACAGACACTTTTTCTGCACGTGCTGCAAACAGGATAGCTGTCTTCTATCAACTGTCCCTCGGCATTCTTCAAATATCCAAAAGATGTCCGTACTTCCGACTGTGTCGTCTTTGAGGGATAAAAAATGTCCTCCTGAGCGCTGCCGTCTCCTCCTTTGGCCATTATTTCAGCTTTAGCTTCAAGAAAGTTTTGGTTGTAAACAACAAAGCGCGCATGTGCCGCCGGCAACTTCAGCAGATGATACGGTGGCTGGTAAGGGTCACCGCGCCTACACCGCAGCCACGGTAATCCACCGAGATAATACTGTATATGTTTTTAAAAAACAAGACTGTTATTATTATTGTCAACTTTTTTTTTACCGGGGTTTACCGCTACACCGGTTACCGTGACAACCCTACCTGATCGGTCTGCTTTGATCTATTTTGAAAACTACGATCAAAACCGATAGGGCGCTATCGGCCGATTGGGATCCAATGCCGATCCATTGATGCATCCCTAGTAAAAACATGCAAATGACGACCTTAATCATCATTGGCAGTGAACGGTTGGATTTAAAATGACGACTTTAGTTGTCAATGGCAGTGAATGAGTTAAACTTGTTAAGCTCTTATTTGTCCAAATTGATAAACAGTTTATAAAACAGAATTCATTTCCTGGATTCTTTGACTTCTGCCATCTGCTCGGCCCGGCCAAGCCGAGTAAGTAAGAGTTGAACCATCCTTCAAGGTCAAATCTTCTTTGCAAAGCTGCATTAGATGCAAAACTTCATCGGACCGCCAGCATTCACCCCGGTGGTTTCCCAGACCAGCGGTGCTGTATTCGAGGTGGAACTACGAGCTCTGAATACCACAGAAGTCAATTCCATTGGCAGCCTGTCTGTACCCTTGGATTGCCTTCAACACAAGGGATTCTGCACAACTGGCGTAGATGGTTTTATTAATTGATAGATAGTTAAACCAGTCAGACTTATTTTACAACCCAGACATCACAATTTTCTAAGACACTTAATTAGATTTTGCTACATAACATCAAAGCTTATATTCCATCATTTTATTCATTGTCTCAGTTATCTTGTTTCAACCATCATTTTTCGTAATTTCTTGTGTGTCATTATTAGTAGTAGAAATATAGTATTTAATTGATTTTTATAAACTATTTTTGCCTCTGTCTCTAATTATTGTGAAGTGTTATGAATCCCTGGTCTTACCCGAATTACCTAGTTTCATTATCAATCAAATATTTAAAGATCAACAATATTGATAATTCATATTTATATGAAATATCACTATTTTATTTTGTCAGTCATTAAAAGTAACCTCTTCCATCACGTTAGACGTAATACATGTGACAGCCCCATTTACTGGACAACTTTTGTTTCTGCGCATACCTGTAGTTATCGTCCATTTATTGTTATCGAGGTGAAATCCTCAATATATCTGTCTTGTCTGTCTGTCTTAAAAACGGCGACTACGCCATGGCGCAACAGAGGGAGGTGTCATTATTACATGCAGAGTTACTGCTGAGCTCTAGTCGGCAACTATATTGAAATTGAAAGTAAACACGGGCATTAAGTTTCACTTTTGCAAACTGAATCAGCTAAGATGATAATTTGGAGCAATGCAGCGCTCATGGAGCTTTTCTTCGTTAAATCTAGAGGTCAGATCACTGGAGACTGAACTGGGACTGTGTGAGAGGGACAGCTTTAGGAGCAGCTTTGATTGCAATAAGAAGCAAGTTATGTCCAAGATGAATAGAAGTCTGCAGCAGTGCAGAGACTGCCGCCATGCCCTCTTTATGCTGCCATCATGTAATCTTTTGTGAAAAGGGACATGATTGCGCAACATTGCTGACACAGTTTTACCACTTATAAATGACCTAAGGCGCCCTGATGCTGCTACAGCGTTGCGGAAAATCGGCGGCATTGTTTTATAAAAACGGCTGTTTGGCATGTTCCTCACCTTTTTCGTCCTTGACTCATTTTCATGTTTGATTGTGGTAAACTGGAATGTTGAAATGGTGATGCGGAGTTACTGATGCTTTGTGGCTATTAATATTCTGTACCCTTTTGTCTACAGGTGCTGTTGTTTGTGCGTCAGCATGGCCGTCGTCATCCGTTTACAGGGACTGAGTGTCACAGCAGGTTCTGAGGATATTCGCAGCTTCTTCTCTGGCCTCAGAATCCCAGATGGAGGTGTGCATATTATTGGTGGGGAGCTAGATGAAGCTTTCATTATCTTTGCTTCTGATGAAGATGCAAGAAGAGCCATGTTACGGTCAGGGAAGTTAATCAAGGACTCACAAGTAACTTTGCTACTCAGCAGCAAAACAGAGATGCAGAATGTACTTGAAAGAACGACCAAAACGTGTGAGCGTGACAAGAAGAGGCAGTTTGATGACAACGCTAGACATGGTCAAAGATCTGTGAACATAGAGGTGGGAAGGAGATCCAGTAGCCGATCAGCTATTAGCCCTTCCTCCCAGCACCAAATGTCTTCAAACTCAGAAGACTTCTTTGGTGTGTTTCTGAATGGGCTGCCTTTTTCTGTAAATAAAAGGGAAATCCAAGACTTTTTTGGTGGTTTACTCATTGTGGAAATTCTCCTACTAAAAAATTTTAAGGGACTAAACAATGGAAGAGGCTTTGTTAGATTTGCAACGGAGCAAGATTTGATAAAAGCCCTGAAGAGGGATCGGGAATACATTGGGTCAAGATATATTGAGGTTAAACTGACAACAATTCATGACTGGCATAAGGCCATTAATCATATTGAAATGGATCTCAACCCAGATGACTACCTGGAAAGAGGGAGACCCCCTGTTCATGGTCAGAGAAACTCCCAACATCGTGATCGATCACGATCACCCATGTCTCAGAGGCATATTGCTCCATCTGATAAGGAATACTGTGTGATGTTGGAAAACCTGCCTTTTGGAATAGAGCAAGTTGGTATTAAACAGCTTTTTCCAAAATCAAAGCTTGAGAATGACCAGATCCTGTTCGTTGCTGACAGTGATCGAAGAAGATCTAGATCTGCATTTGTACTCTTCAGGAGCATTCGTGACTACTGTGAAGCTTTAAGTCAGGAGAAAAGAGAGTTTTGTAACCGATGGATTTATACTCGTCCAATCTCCAGAGAGAACATGCTAAGGATTCTGGAATCTCATAGTTCGGCTGTTAGGCCGTACAGAGATTCTGAAAAGCATCAGGAAAGAGCTCCATCTCACCTCAAGGACCTGTATGACTCTGAGAAAGCCTGCGTATTTGTGAGGAACCTCCCAACTGATGTGCGGAAAGTTGAGATAATTGACTTCTTTCATGGATTTAATGTCATGGAGGACAGAGTTTGGGTTCTGCATGACCATAGAGGTGCTGGAGTTGGGCAAGCTTTGGTTCTCTTTGTGTCTGAAGCAGAGGCTGGTAATGCAATTACTCAAAATGGACGCCGGTTTCTTGGGTCTGAAATCACAATGAAATGTATTTCACGTGCGCAGATGAAACAGCTGGCTGCCGAGCCAGCAGAAAAACAAGAACCATTGCCAAAAGATGAACAGCACTTCAACATGGGAAGTAAGTCGCTTTATCCCTCTGGTGATGTCTATCCTGATGTAAGGAAAGATAGTTATATGACCAATGCAAATGTCAACGCCTGCATGGGTTTTGACTACGTACATCGTTCAGTGAGATGTCGTTCTCCACAAGATCTTGGAAATGGGTTTCATGGCAGGTTTGGTTCTCCTGAACAGCGTTTTGATGGTCCCACTTGTGTACAGTTGGTGAACTTGCCATTCCAAATCAGACCTGAGGAAATCTATGATTTCTGTTACGGATATCGTATCATACCTGGATCTGTCTCTCTTCAGTACGAACAGAATGGGAAAGCTAAAGGCTCTGCCACCTTGGTGTTTGAGTCTCGTAAGGAGGCTCTGCATGCAGTTCAAGAACTAAGTGGAAGACCGATCGGTCCAAGAAAAATACAGTTGTTACTTGTCTGATAGTGAAGTTACCTTTTGGGAATAAGTCATACACTTTACAGTGTTAATGTACGTACTAATAATGTGCCAGAATCAATGCATTGGAGTGTTTGGAGCGATTTTTCGTAGCATGGTTCTTGTGCATTTTTGATATTGTTTGTTTTAATGTAGTTTTTCCATAATGCAGTGAAACTGTCAGAATAAGTTGCTTTTGACATTGGGTTTGAAAATGCTAAGTCAACAGTAATGACAACCACTGTTCCTTGCTTTTCTCAGTTGCTAATATCTTCAGTTTTACAAGAGTATTGTATAATACAAATACCATTGGTTTGCTTTATTTTCTTTTTAAAATAAAGAAAATCTCGAATTTGTTTGTCTCTTTGGGATTCAAAATTTGCTTACACTAGTAATCCAAAGGGTTCAAATGAAGGCAACTGAACTTTGGTTTCTTAAAGGCGTTTCGCTTCTTGTCCGATGAGCATTGTCAATTCTGACTGGAATATGGGAGAGTCAAGTGACATGGTTTTGGGGATGAGTTTAACCCAAGACATGCAGAATTCATGAGTCAATTAGAAAAATTAAAGAATTTTATTTAAAAAAATAGGGAACTGAGGGGGCACTGTATAAGGTTCAGTGGGGATTGCAACGGAACCGCAGCGTCTGAGGAGGGGAGAGCTGAGGAACAGGCGAGTCCAGGGAGGTATGTCTGAACTAAGAAGGTGCAGAGTAAAGACTTACGGGAAGCTGGGGGCTGAGGAATTTGGGTGGGTAGGTGGAGCGCCGGTGAATCCAAGAGGGGGTGTCTAGGAGAGGGGGCGCGAGGAGAATGGGCCGGCAGAGAGGAGAGGAGAATGGTGAATGCTGCATCCAGGAGATTTATGGGGCACAGGTGAGTAATCCAGCAGTATCGTGGAAATGTCCAAGTAGTCAATCAGAGGAGCCACAGGAAAACCAGAGAAGCTTCACGAGTCCAAGGAGATTCTGAGGAGTCAAGGTAAGGTCCACAAATGATCCAAAAATCCTGGGAACAGGTAAGCACAAGTATATCCACAAGGGTTCTAAAACCCAAAGATCACTAGAGTTACCCTGGAAACAAAGAGCTGGAACTACAAAGTTGTAGTTAATCATCCGGCGTCGAGATGTTTTCTCCTCCACCTCATAGCTGGACCCACTGATTGTTAATGAGCTGACGCTGCAGCCTCCCTCTCCTGAAACAGCAGCTCAAAGATGGAACAAAAATGAGAGGAGCACTCACCCCGGCACATGACAGTACCCCCCACCCCCTCCACGGACGCGCCTGGCGTCCCAGCAGACGCAGCCTCGTAGTCCTGGATCAGGAACGGGTCCTCAATAAAGGACAGGGGGACCCAGGAACGCTCCTCCGGGCCATACCCCTCCCAATCGACCAGGTACTGGGTGCCACAGCCGCGGGGCCCGGGAATCCAGGATCCTGCGAACCGTGTATATGAGGCCCCCTTGTAGTACCGCGCAGGGGGTTTGGCAGCCGGCACAGGACAGAGGGGGCTAGAACCCACCGGCTTGACCAGGGAAACGTGAAAAAAAACGGGTGATTCCGGAGCGAGCGTGGGAGCTCTAGTCGAACCGTGGAGGGAGTGGTGACCTCCGGTATCTTAAACGGGCCTATGAATCTGGGAGTGAACTTACGGGAGGTGTCCTTCAGCGGGATGTCCTTAGACGAGAGCCATACTTCCTGACCAGGGGCGTAATCCGGGGCTGGACGTTGCCGGCGGTCAGCCAGCCGCTTGTTCCTGTCAGCCATCCTGTCCACAGCGGCCCGGGTGGACGCCCGTCTGGCCCCCCGGAGAAACTGAGGGACCAAAGATGGACCTGAGGACTGCTGGGGAAACGGGGATGGCTGGTAACCTAGAGAGGCTTCAAATGGAGACTGACCTGTAGCAGTAGAAACGTGGCAGTTGTGGGCGTACTCCACCCAGGCGAGGTGAGAGTTCCAGGAGGATGGGTGTGCGGAGCAGATGCAGCGACGCATGGCCCCGAGCTCTTGATTCATGTGCTCACATTGTCCGTTCATCTGTGGGTGATATCTGGAAGTGAGGGAGACCTAAGCCCCCTGAGCCTCGGTGAACTCCTTCCATAATCTGGAGATGAACTGAGGTCCCCGATCCGAGAGAATCTTCTCTGGAATCCTGTGCAACCTGAACGCATGCTTAATGAGGAGTTTAGCAGTAACAGAGGAGGCAGGGATAGACTTTAGGGGTACAAGGTGGCAAGCCTTCGAAAACCTGTCCATCATGGTGAGGATGGTGGAAAAACCATGCGAATCAGGCAACCCACAGACGAAATCTAAGGCTATGTGTGACCAGGGACGTGAGGGAGTAGGAAGGGGGTTTAACAAACCTGCCGTAGACTGATGGTCCCCATTCTGTTGGGCACATACGTGGCACTCCGAGATGTAGTCCTTCACGTCCTTGTACATGGCAGGCCACTAGAAAGTCCGTTTCAATAGGGCAATAGTGCGACCTGCACCTGGGTGCAGGGAAAACCTGCCGGTGTGTGCCCAATGGATGTCCTTGCCCCTTAAGCCTTGTTGCACATAAAGCCGGCCAGGCGGACCCTTACCTGGACCTCAGTCAGTTTTAAGAGCCTCCAGCACCTGATCCCGGATCTCCCACGTGACTCCTCCCATCCGGAGCATACAACCTGGAGAGGGCATCTGGTTTTGTGGTTTTAGACCCAGGGCAGTAAGGAATCTGGAAATTGAAACATGAGAAGAAAAGAGACCACCTGTACTGTCGTGGATTAAGCCTCTTAGCTTCTCTCAGGTAAACCAGATTCTTGTGGTTCATCCAGATGATGAAATGTGTTTCTGCCCCCTCCAGCCAGTGTCTCCACTCCTCAATAGCGAGCTTTACAGCCAGCAGCTCTCGGGTCACCCACGTCATATCTGCTCTCTGCGGGAGTTAAAACGGCAAGAGAAAAAGGCACAGGGATGAAGTTTATTATCCGTGGGAGATACCTGAGGAGTACAGCGCTGGGGTCGGAGGCGTCTACTTCGAGGATGAACTGGCGTTGCGGATCTGGTCTGTGGAGAACAGGGGCGTTAGTGAACTTCCTCTTCAAGGTCTGGAAAGCAGCCTCGGCTTCTGAGGACCAAACAAAAGGGTGATTAACAGAGGTCAGGTTTGTCAGTGGGGCGGCGGTCTGGCTGTAGTTCCTTATAAACCTCCTGTTCCTGTTGGCGAAGCCCAGGAACCTTTGTAACTGCTTTTGAGAAGTTGGAATGGGCCACTCAGTGACTGCACTGACCTTCTCAGGGTCTGCCCTTAGCCTCCCGCTCTCGATGATAAAACCAAGGAACTTTACCTTGGGGACGTGGAACACACATTTCTCCGCCTTGACATGAGCGGTTCTCCAGGAGGCGCTGTAACATGGCCCTTACATGTTGCTCTAAGGAGTTAGAAAAAATCAAAATATCATCTAAATAAACAGTCACAAACTTAATAAGAAAGTCTCCTAAAACAGGGACTGGAACACGGCTGGTGCATTAGTTAAACCCAAGCCCCCACAATGCGGGTCAAAAATTGAGGCAAATGCGGAAGTACCAAAAATTGCAGTTCCACCCTCATCCGCTGGGGGCTGGTGTCAGAAGCGAGCAAATCCTCATTGACTCCCATGTTAAAAATGCCATTTTCACAGCAGAAATAAACATGTTTACAGCCTGGTACCAAAACATGTTTTTGGTTTTAATTATCTCACTCTTCTGTGTGGCAGTGTGAGTGTCCTGTCACCGTGTCCCGATAGATCATGCGCCCTGGCTACTTGGCCAGGGGGATGTCCCTTTGGCTGACTGGTTAGAGCGTATGACTCTCACCCGGGAGTCTGGGGATCGAATCCCGCCCGGGCCCTCGTCTATCCACTTTGCCACATTTGGCATTGTTGGCAGTATCCATGTAGTACTGTCAAGTAGGTCCATGGATGTGAAGCCATGGATGTGAAGTTTGTGGCACCCTGCGCAGGAGCACGAGGACGTGCTTGTGGAAAGAGGGGGGAAGATGTGATTGTCCTGTCACCGTGTCCCGATAGATCATGCGCCCTGGCTACTTGGCCAGGAGGATGTCCCTTTGGCTGACTGGTTAGAGCGTATGACTCTCACCCGGGAGTCTGGGGATCGAATCTCACCCGGGCCCTCGTTTATCCACTTTGCCACATTTGTTTAAGTGTGCTCGCTCGCCATAAAACTAGCCTGGCAAACCATACTAAATAACGCTCCATTGACTTCTTTTTGCCATGGGGTGGGTTCTACCATTGTCTTTGAAATGATCTCCGCATGCTACTGGACAACGTGACATGGCATACTCACCACAACGGATGTCAGTAAACGAGCCAGTCCGCTGTTGAAGAAGGCAAAAATGCATCCGTTTTCTAAATAAAGGTCTTGAATACATCTCTGCGCCTGATTCTAATGAAGCCCAAGTCCAAATAATCCAAACTTGATGTAAAAGCCATTCCAAACAAGCTGTTTTTATCTTGTTCCACTCCATCGCTTCATCTCGCCCACCAGATGAATTGGCTTTGACTTGCCCATGTGGGCAGAGCAAAAGATGCACTGAGAAATCCCTGCTGTCCTTTAGTTGGTAAACACAAGCAGGCATGAGCAGTGTTGATTTTGGAGACTTCTAATATGAAGGACGCTGCTTCTTACCCTCTGTCAGTGAAACTCTCATAATAGCCAACTATAAATGTTGTTCCATTCCATATGACTAGAGAGACTGATGGCCAGTCAGCCACAGCCCTGTAACACCGCTATGGAAGGGGAAGAAAGAATGGCAAAGTAAACCAATGTGCAGCTCTGTCAGCTGAAAAACTGGCCTCTACTTCCATAACAAATTTAGCAAAGGACTTGTAAAAACAAAATATTTCTTTTGGGACAATTTTCTCTGCCACTTTTTGCTGCAATGTCTTGTTTAAGTCACGTGCTGTCTGTTTAGCTTTGAGAGGGGAGGGCTTGGTGACTGAATTTGGCCAAAGCCAAACTGCCAAAGCCTTTGAAGACGGCTTATGGTAAAGAAATTAGCATTCATTTCACGGGCAACATTCCTGCAGTCAGCATACCAATTTCACGCTCCAAAGTTTGCGACATGCACATGTCAGGGTGGCTTTTTATTGTGGGCAGTCTAACCCCCAAATTCCACTACATCCGCTCCGATCCGCCCCCGCCTTCCGCAGCTGCTCGCTTCCGAACTCAATTTTTACTGGTACCCGCTCTACAACGGCTCCGCTCCGGTTCGGAGACCTGAAGTGGGCAAACAAGCATGCGTGGGATTTTCGAGATCTTGCGATACAGTCCGAGCAATAAACGCGGAAGTTAGATCCAAACACCCGTTGTGTGGGAGAAGCATCGAAATGAACTGTTTAATCTGCCCATCATGTGTGTTGAGAGATCAGCAGTGTTTGGATCAACAAAGTGTGACTACTTTGATAGTGGAAACTGTATTTATGGCTTACTTTTGTGCATTTAAACTTCAGCCGCCATTGATAGTTGTTAAAAGTTGTTAAACCTGTGCATATGAAACAAAAAACGCCTTTTGTTTATTGATTTATTGTGAAAAACGGAAGTTGTGCTTGCTCCTTTTCCTGTTGGGCGGTTGTGATTTCTGTCCATTTACTGCGGAGGTGCTCCGGCGTCCGGCAAAAATAGGATTGATTCTATTTTTGCCGGACGCCGGAACAGAGGGCGGCGCACTGCGCCGGACTGCCGGAGCACGGCCGCAGTAGTGGAATTGCTCTGATTGACTACAACGGGACCGATTTTGCTCCGGCGTTCGTGTCGGAGCGGAGCGGAGGTAGTGGAATTTGGGGATTAGGCACACCTGTACATTATTCATGCTGTCTAATCAGCTCTTTGATGTGCCACACCTGTGAGGTGGGATGGATTATCTTGGTAAAAGAAAAGTGCTCACTAGCACACATGTAGACAGATTTTAGAACAATATTTGAGAGTCATGGGTCTTTTGTGCATGTAGAAAAAGTTTCAGATGTTTGAGTTCAGCTCATGAAAAATGGGAGCAAAAACAAAGGTGTTGCATTTTTTTTCAGTGTAAATGTTTATTCCTATAATGATTTATTTCAGATCTCATTTGCACGATATTAATATATTTGTGGAATTTAATAATTTGTTCATCAGTATATTCACACGTTAACTTATTCACTGCCAATGACGACTAAAGTAGTCATTTGCATTTTTTTACTGTCTGGGCATTGGAACAAGCCCCCGCGCTGAGAGAACAAACATCTCAGCTCTGAAGCCAATCTTCATCCGCATACGTCACAAGTCCCATGATCAGGAAGCAGAACCTCCATGTGTTAGTTCGCTTTGGCCCGTTCCTGAAAAAAAGTGAGGCGCGAACTGGAAAAGCGTCTGCCGATCACAATTCGACAATGGATTATGAAAGAACGGATAACGCTCGAAACACGCGGATTCTTCCTGATGTAAGAGGTGAGTCTCCGCTTTATTTTGGTTGTTTTGGCGTCAACATCATCCTAGCGTGCAACGTTCTTGACTCTTAAACAGTAAAAACGGTGAGAAACGCTGGCAGCAAAGGCTTTACCGATCAGGAAACGGCTGGCAGTGAATGAGTTAATTATATTATTATGAATGTGTATTATATTTACTTCACATTAATCTTTAATAAGGGCTACTCCACATTAGGCAAAATAACCTAGAGTATTTGAGAAATATGTGGCGTCTGAGGTCTTTGATAACTGCCCTCTTTAACTCATTCTCTGCCAGCTGTTTCCTGATCGGTAAAGCCCTTTGCTGCCAGCGTTTCTCAAAGTTTTGACAGTTTTTTTAAGACTCACAGAACGGTGAACGCTAGGATGATATCAACGCCAAAACAACCAAAACAAGGCGGAGACTAACCTCTTACATCATGAAGAATCCGTGCGTTTCGACCTTTATCCGTTCTTTCAAAATCCGTTGTTGAATTGTGATCGGCAGAAGCTTTTCCGGTTCACGCCTCACTTTTTTACAGCAACGGCCCAAAACTATCTCCTAACACATGGATATTCTGCTTCCTGATCACTTGACGTGTGACGTATGCGGATGAAGATCGGCTTTAGAGCTGAGATGTTTGTTCTCACGGTACGGGGGCTTGTTCCGATGCCCACACAGTAAAAACTAGGGATGCACCGATCAGGTTTTTTGCTGCCGATCACCGATACCGATATCAAAGAATGCTGATCACCGATACCGATCACGTGGATTGGCCAGAAATTTTCTACAACATTATAATGAGTGCTACAAACTACATAATCTGGGAATAAGGAAATGCAACCTAATCTAAAATGGTCTGTATTAGGGTTGTCACAGTGTGAAAATTTAACCTCACGGTTATTGTGACCCAAATTACCACAGTTTTCAGTATTATTGCAGTATTTCTTTTAAACGTGCTACATTTTCACACAATTAAATAAACCCTGTATGTCAGGAAATATTGTCCTCAGTTTGTGTCTAAATTTTGCCTAAAATGTGTTATTTTGTAATTATGTTGTTTGTTTACATTTTTTCCCTTTAGTCTTTAAAATACCAATATTTGCCCATAACTTCTTATTTTATGTCTGTTTGATGTCATCATTTTAAAAATATTAGATCAGATGACACTCAGTACTCAAGTAGCCTTCTAATCAGATACATTTTTTTTACCCTTACTTGAGTAATAAACCCTATATCAGGAAAATATTGTCCTCTGTTTGTGTCCTTCCAGTGAGCTTTGCAGATGTGGGAAAATGTCGTCAGGCAGTAATCATTGTTAAATTCATAATTATTCTCGGAGAGAGACCAACTCTTATCTGCCCCTGGGAGCCCCGTAATGCATAACGTCATTTCAATATTGGGGGTGTCCGCGACACGGTTTATATGCAGGTAGCGGCGCTGCAGCTGCTTTATGTGAGTCGTGGTGGATGGCTGCTTATACTGAGCCAGGATCCTCTGGAGGTTTCTTCCTGTTAAAAGGGAGTTTTTCCTCTCCACTGTCACTGCATGCTTGCTTAGTAGGAGGATTACAGTGTGGCGAGCAGGGCCACTTATCAATTTAGAAACAACGCCACCTGATTATCAGGAACCAAAACGACTGGAACTAAGGCACATTAGTTCATTTTTACAAATCAAGCTTGAGACGGAGTTCCATTCCACACAAACAGATTTTATTCAAAGAATAAAATGAGTTTAAAATAATCTAAAAACACCATGCACCTGCAGATCAACACTGCTTAAAACCAAATCAACTTAGGCTGAGGCTGACTAATGGGGCTGCCTAAGAGAGCCCAGAACTAAATACCAACCACAAGGAATTTCACCCCAATCACACGTGCATGCATTCGGGGGGTGAAGTGACTCTGGAGCACACGCACACCATCAAAAGGACCACCACCAGGGCTCGACCACCACTGTCAGCTCACAGCCTAAATGAAAAGAAAACAGAAAACAGTAAAAATCCAAATCCACACATACACACACACACACACACACAGCCACGACAGAGCAGGCAGGCCGTCAGGGAATGAGCGAGCATACAGCTCGCCTGCACACAAGTCTATTAGCCTGCGCCTCAACCGTCCTTATGAGCTCCCGGGCAGACGACAACTGCCGGTAGGGCCCGCAGCCCCTCGTTAGAATACCCAACCCCACAGCGGGTGTACGCCCTCCGCTGGTATACGGTACAGAGGAGCGAGTGACAAAGCCGCTCCCAATGGTCTCCGCTGATCCCGTCAACCAGTCCGAGCAGCGGGGTGGAGAGGTCTTGGAGCCGGATGATGGTCCAGCACCGGGTCAACAACCGGTAACAGAGATCTCACGAAACTGTGCAGAAAAGCAGCAGAACAGCAGAACAACAGAGTCTCCTGTGGAGACACACCCCTTCCTGGATCACTTCTTTGAAGCACATAGGATAAAAGAAGCCTTCCGTTACTCTGGGAGGACCACATACAACAATTCAGTCCGACACGCCGGAGTCCCGTACACAACAGCTCTTCACACAGGAAGCGGAAGTTAAGCCAAAGTAAAAGATCGCTGTAGCGCCACCTCAGGCCCTATTTATATGAGCGCCTTCCCTCAATGATAGGTCGTCCAATTACTCAGTGGCAGGTGACTCATCCCACTACACAAGTATGTCAGCATTTAAACACTAATGCTCTGTTTGAGGAATTTCAGTCTGGTTTTAGAGAGTATCACAGCACTGAAACTGCATTAGTGAGAGTTACAAATGACATTCTCATGGCCTCAGATAAGAATCTTGTGTCTGTTCTAGTCTTGTTAGATCTCAGTGCTGCCTTTGACACAGTTGATCACAATGTTCTTTTAGAAAGACTTGAACATGTTGTAGGGATCAAAGGAACAGCGCTAGGCTGGTTTAAATCCTACCTGTCTGACAGATTTCATTTTGTAAACGTACATGACAAATCTTCTTCATACTCCAGGGTTACTTGCGGAGTACCACAGGGTTCAGTGCTTGGACAAATTCTTTTTACTATATATATGCTCCCAATTGGTAAAATCATTAGACAGCATGGGATAAACGTCCACTGTTATGCTGACGATACTCAGCTATATTTATCCATTAACCCTGATGAACCTAATCGGTTGGGTAGATTACAGGCTTGTCTTGAGGACATAAAAAATTGGATGACTCTAAACTTCTTGCTTTTAAATCAAGACAAGACGGAAGTTCTCATCTTTGGACCAGAAATCCAGAAAAGGAAATTGCTTAGCCTATCACCTGACCTTAATGGCATTACATTAATCTCCGAGAACAAAGCAAGGAACCTTGGTGTTATCTTTGACCAGGACATGTCATTCAAATCCCAGGTTTCACAAGTTTGTCGGATTTCCTTTTTCCACCTTCGGAATATTGCTAAGATTAGAAGCATACTTTCCAGGAGTGATGCTGAAAAACTAGTTCATGCATTTATTACATCAAGACTGGATTACTGTAATTCATTACTCTCAGGAAGTCCACAGAATGTAGTTAAAAGTCTTCAGCTTGTCCAAAATGCTGCAGCTAGAGTTCTGATGAGAATTAAAAAGAGAGATCATATCTCTCCTGTCTTAGCTTCCCTACATTGGCTACCTGTTAAATTCAGAATAGATTTTAAGATCCTTCTTCTCACATATAAAGCTCTTAATAATCAAGGTCCATCATACATCAGTGATCTGATTGTTCCATATGTTCCTAACCGAGCACTTCGCTCTCAGACTGCAGGTCTACTGGTGGTTCCCAGAATATCTAAAATTAGGATGGGAGGCAGATGTTTTAGGTATCAGGCTCCTCTCCTGTGGAGCCAGCTCCCAGCTTTAGTCCGTGAGGCAGACACTTTGTCTACTTTTAAGAATAGGCTTAAAAGATTTTTATTAGATAGGGCCTATAGTTAAAATCTGATGTTAGCCTAAATCTGGACAAGTGGGGGAGTACAGGGAGGTGGAGTGTACAGTCAGTAAAGACGGCTCTCCCTTGCCCTGCCTCCAACATGCCTACATCTAAATAGGATAGATTATCCAGAGTTATCTCTGTAGTTATGCTGCTATAGGCTTAGACTGCTGGTGGACACACTGACCACTTTTCACACTCTACTGCTTTATTCTACAGTCTGCTCTTTAACTGTACTATTTTGTGCAATTTCAGCTGTTAACTTTATTTTCTCTGTAAGTGTTTTTCTCCCCAGATGAAGCTACAATGACGTTCTGCTGAGCTGTAGTGGCCTCATGGAGGGGGCCATCGACTAGCACACTGCTGTTAACCACTAATACATTCTCTCTCTCCTGATAATAACTTTTTGTTTTCATTGACCTTTGATGTGCTAATACTAGTTTATCCGTTTAATTATAGATCCACTAGGATAAATACAATAAAGTTTATCTTTCACCAAATACAATATTTACTAAGACATCACAATATAACTATAGACACATTACTTGTCTTTGTGTGTGTGTGTGTGTGTGTGTGTGTGTGTGTGTGTGTGTGTGTGTGTGTGTGTGTGTGTGTGTGTGTGTGTGTGTGTGTGTGTGTGTGTGTGTGTGTGTGTGTGTGTGTGTGTGTGTGTGTGTGTGTGTGTGTCTGCTCCGTCTTCTCCATCCCCAGTGAGTCGTGGAGGATGGCTGCTTATACTGAGCCGGGATTCTCTGGAGGTTTCTTCCTGTTAAAAGGGAGTTTTCCTCTCCACTGTCGCTGCATGCTTGCTTAGTATGAGGATTGCTGTATAGTCACTGACACTAGTCAGTGACTTGATGCAATTTGCTGGGTTCCTTATATAGGAAATATTATTTCTGATTGGCTTAATGAACTGTGAATTGGAATGTTTATTATGTGAAGTGCCTTGAGACGACTCTTGTCGTGATTTGGCGCTATATAAATAAACTTGAATTGAATTGAATTGAATCTCATTAACAATTAGCGGGTCCAGCTATAAGAGGAGGAGGAGAACACATCTCGATGCTGGATGATTAACTACAACTTGGTAGTTCCAGCCCTTTGTGTCTCCAGGTTAACTCTAGTGATTTTTGGATTTCAGAACCCTTGTGGATATACTTGTGCTTACCTGTTCCCAGGATTTTTGGATCATTTGTGGGCCTTACCTTGACTCCTCAGGATCTCCTTGGACTTCTGAAGTTTCTGGAGCTTCTCTGGTTTTCCTGTGGCTCGTCTGATTGACTACTTGGACCTTTCCACGATACCGCTGGATTACTCACCTGTGCCCCATAAATCTCCTGGACACAGCATTCACAGTTCTCCTCTCCCACTCTGTGGAGTTTAGAACCCTGGCGGCTCGGTCATCCTGGAATGAGGAAGCCCTCCTCGCTGCCTTCACGGAGTCCCTCAACTACCAAGTTCAGAACCAGCTGGCACTGTGCCCACAACCCCAGTCACTGGAGGAACTCATCCGCCTGGCCATTTCTATTGATAAACACCAGCATGAACTGCAGTACCAGAACTCCAGTACCAGAACCTTCCCCACACCGGACCATCACCATGAGTCTGGCACTCGGCCCTCCGCAGAGCCCACCATCATGGAGGAACCCATGCAGATGGGAAGGGCACGCCTCAGCCGGGAGGAGAGGTCACATCGGATCAGGTCAGGTCTGTGTTTATATTGTGGGGAGCCAGGACACTTTGCTAGAGCCTGCCCGGCTCTGTTAAAAGGCAGAGCCCACCAGTAAAGACGGGACTACTGGTGGGCAGTAACTCTTCTTCTGTGAGCTCCCACTGTGTACTTCAGTGTGTTGTTAACTCCGAGCAGTTTCCTATAGAAGCGCTTGCTGACTCTGGTTGTGAGCAGTCCTTGTTGGACCCGGACTTAGTAAAGAGATGGAAGATCCCAACCATTCGCTCCCTACTCCACTCTCTGTGTCTTCCTTGGACGACCTGAACCTGTCAACCATTACTCACCAGACCATCCCGTTGCAGTTACGAGTGTCAGGTAACCACACGGAGGCTTTGGCTTTTTATGTGTTTCCCTCTCCTCAGTCACCTCTGGTTCTGGGACACTCCTGGCCCTCCCTCCATAACCCCCACGTGGACTGGGAGACTAACAGAGTTGAGGAATGGAGCTCTAGATGCTCATAGACCTGCCTCCGCTCAGCCTCACCCATTCTCCGCAGCCCCGCCGCTCCTCCAGCAGAAAGGATAGACCTGTCCTCTGTGCCACCGGTCTACTATGGCCTCAGCCAAGTCTTCAGCAAGGATCAGGCATCATCTCTCCCCCCACACAGGCCATTCGATTGCAGGTGCTCCTCTTCCCTTCAGCTGCCCTTACCACCTCTCTAAACCAGAGAGAGAGAGCATGGAGAGCTACATACAGGAGTCTCTGGCCGCCGGCCTCATCAGACCGTCCTCATCACCCCTAGAAGCGGGTTTTTTTCTTCGGTCTAAGAAGGAGGGAACACTCAAACCCTGTATTGACTACAAGGGGTCTGAACCAGATTACCGTTAAGAACAAATACCCGCTGCCTCTACTAACATCTACTTTTGAGCCCATTCAGGATGCCAGCATCTTCAGTCGCCTGGATCTCCGGAACGCTTACCATCTGGTTCAAATTCGTCAGGGAGACGAATGGAAGACTGCGTTTAAGACTCCCATGGGACATTTCGAATACCATTGACCAGAGGTGGAAAGTAACGAATTACATTTACTCACGTTACTGTAATTGAGTAGCTTTTTTGTAAATTTATACTTTTTAAGTTGTTTTTAAAATCTGTACTTTTACTTTTACTTGAGTAAGTTTTTAAAAAAGAATTGTAATTCGCTACATTTTAAATCATATCCGTTACTGAGTAAAAATAAATTGTAGGCTTAATAAATTAAAAATATTACGTGTGGCAGCGTCGGAACGGAAAGAGACACCTGCATGAGCGCCACGTCTAAACCGGGGGGGGGGGGGGGCTACACGCTTTATGATGAGGACAAACAGCCATTTTTACCGCAGTTTTGCTCAAAAACAAAAGTTCTGTGATCCACTCGCTGTTTACCTCTTCTCTCCCTCCTCTCCTGTGGGTTGGAACCCGCACCTTCGCGCACCGGTGTGACGTCATCAGAATTCTGCTCGGTTCGGCAACCAGACTCGGCTCCGTGTTTGAAATGTGTTTCCTTACCGCGCACGGAAGCGGCAAAATTACGTTTAGCGCTCCTAAGAAGCGGAATCTCAGCGCTCTGCTCATAAAACAGAAGACCTGCAGGCCTCTGTGAGTTAATCCTGATACTGTTCAGGTGCAAACATTGTGCTCCATCCCTGTGTTTGAACTCAGAAGATGCTCCTTGATGCCACAGATATGTGATGATTTAGCTTGTTTCTTTATTTTACTCCAGAATAAGAGATTAAATTATTACAAAAGCAGTTCAGTGTAGTTAAATTAGTCATTCAAATGATTCTAACATGCTGCAGTGTGTGTGTGTGGGACTGCATAAGACAGCATGGCTTCATCAAATCCATGCATCCAATGTCTTGGCTGAAGTAATGGCTCAGGAAAATAACTTGTATTTAATAAACAATGATGTCTCTGCAGTGTTTATGATAATGTTTTATCTTATATTGGACCTATCTTTTGTCTGGGAGGTGTAACTTATGATGATACAAGCCTTTTAAAACATGTTAAAGTGTTACAAGAGGAGATAAATGCATGAATTTGAAGTTCATGTTTGGAGACCAACCTTCACAGTTTGGAGGCTCACGCTGGTGAGGAGACACCTTTAGTTCTAGTAACACCTGGGCTCCCACGGCCTGTTCTGACAGGATGGACGTTACAGTTGGATGATTGGAGGATTATTTAGGAGGATTGGGATGAACAAACTGGTTTCAGTGGTGAAGGGTTAAAGGTATTGGCTCGGCATTAAAATTGTAGAAATGCAAAATAACTACACTTTATTATCTATATCAACATGTACTGGGTCCAGTTTTTTATTTTATTAAGGACTTTTGTCTTAAATGATTACAGAAAATCCAAATCCTCTCCTCCAGACAGTGAAGAACTGTGTTTCGCATATGTCACTCCAGCACGTAAAACAAGCTAGCTGCTGATGCTAATATTGTGAATCACTGTTATATGTTTACTTTCATGCTCCTAATTATTACGTAAAATTGCGTTTACAGCTGCAGCAAAAGGTCTGAGCCATGTGTCTGTGTCCTACACGCATTTTTAAATAACAGGTCTGATCTAAAATAATAACCTACATCTATAAATCCATCTAGAACCACACCGCTACTTCTGGACTCCAGACGAGTCCCGTTAGCATGACTGAAGCAAAACTAACCGTGTTCGCTCCGGTAAGGAAAGAACAAGTCCTTTGGGAAAGCTACGACACACACACACACACACACACACACACACACACACACACACACACACACACACACACGCACACACACACACAGCAGTAAAACTGTAGATTACTGAACTATATTGGGACACATGATGGAGCTAAGACCAGCTGAAAACTCGTCAGCTTAGAGCTCCCAGTGGAGCACAGAAATGAAATATTTAAGAAAAGTAAACAAACGGTACCGATTTTGGTTCTGAAGATGAACAGAATCCTCCTCTATGTCCAAATCAGGTCGCAGGTCTTCTGAGTCAAACGGTCTAAAACATGTCTGCACCTCTGGTAGTGATATCCAGCTGGCGGGGTCGGAGTTCGGTTGAACTTCTCCAGTAATCTAACATCCGTTCTCGTCGCCGTATCCCAGAGAAAAAACAAATCTGATGGACTAGTAGAGGCTTCAGAAGCTACATCTGATTGATGACACATTGTTCTCTGCTATAACGCTAACGCAGAAACAGCGGAGCCAGGCATTGTTTACTACAGCTGTTTCAGCAGAGCTCCATGTGAAACGTCAACTGCTGCCCAGGGCTTAGACTGGAAGTTAGTTTCTGTTTTTCCTGCGCCAGTCACAAACATCAGATTTTCTTACAATTCCAGCCGTCAAAATCCAAAAACCTTTTTCATCTGAGATTTTAATACACATTTACACATGCTGATCAAACAAATTCTGCCTCTGGCCGATATCTTTAAATGAGTGAGTGAACCCACTACCAAAGATGAACTCTGCTAACTTTAAAATCAGCTGCTCTAAATAAGCATTCAGGGAAAAGTCATGGGCTTGTGACTATAACCTAATTTATGTTACTAGTTTGCAGTGTAACTGCCTTTGTACTTCAATATGCATATTTGTTCATTTAATTAAAAAAACGGCCACTTTGACATTTGTACCCCATTGTCTTTTTTTAACTATTCAGAAGAGCCCGTCCTTGCACAGTCAAAAAAGTAACTAAGTAACTTTTACTCTGACTACATTTGAAATAAGCTACTTTTTACTTTTACTTGAGTACATTTTGAGGCAGGTAATTTTACTTGTAATTGAGTAAAATTTCATGAAAGTAATTATACTTGTACTTAAGTACAACATTTTAGTACTCTTTCCACCTCTGCCATTGACATATACATACATGGACAATGGGTTTCCATAGGCTCCAATAACACGTTTTTGAGGAGAAATGGGAGGTGTCCACCACCACTATTTTGATCGTGTCACAGGTTCCGTCAAGCCCAGACAATTCCACAAAAGGGAACAATGATGTTCTGCTGAGCTGTGGTGGCCTCATGGAGGGGGCTATCGTCTAGCACACTGCTGCTAACCACTTAAACATTCTCCCTCTCCTGATAATAACTTTTGGCTTTCCTTGACATTGGATGTGCTACTACTAGTTTACCCATTTATAGATTCACTAGGATAGATACAATAAAGTTTATCCCTCACCAAATTGAATATTTACTAAGAAATCACAATATAACTATAGACACGTGTGTGTGTGTGTGTGTCTGCTCTGTCTTCTCATCCCCAGTGAGTCGTGGAGGATGGCTGCTTATACTGAGCCAAGATTCTCTGGAGGTTTCTTCCTGTTAAAAGGGAATTTTCCTCTCCACTGTCGCTTTATGCTTGCTTAGTATGAGGATTGCTGTAATTTGCTGGGTCTACACCCTCAACTGCTGATCATCATGTCTTCCATCACCCAAAGGTGTAGATGGAGGGCAGGTGTAAAACCTGCTAAAATTGAGAAGGCCAGGAGGTTTGTCAAGTGTTATGGCTACACTTATTTCTAGCTTAAACGGTGCCGTTGTTGTGCATCCTCACATCAGACATGACAGTCCAGGGACATTTTTGTCAGACAAAGTTCATTTCACAAATAAGGGAAATGATATTTTTTTAAACTAATATTGCCTTAATGGCCAGCTCAAAAAGCAGTGAAAGACTTCCAGGTGGGAGTCTCGCTGCTTTTGAATTTTGCCTTTAGGGCAGATTTATTTTCAGGCAAACAGGATAAACATTTCCCTGACTGCTATAGCTAATGTGTTGTTGATATAATTTATCTGTAGCCATAACACTTTTGACAGCTTTGTTCTTCCTGTACCGACACTTTGTGTCCTGATATTTTATAAAATGTGATTTAAAAAAATAAATATTTTTGCTCAATTACTGGAATTTCTTTGGTTAAGACAAAAAAAGGAGGGAAGAATCATTTATGCCAAGTTATTTCTACAACAGGCATTTTCTAAGTCCAACAGAAATGTATTCTTTATTAACTATACTTGCTTTAAAAATCTTACTAAAAGGAACCTTAGAGGCTGCCATATTGCAAAACCCAATCATACATGTTATGTAAATATTAGCTTTGAAGATATTTGTAGACCTCCTCCTTGAACCGTCACCTTATCGTGGTGGAGGAGTTTGAGTGCCCTAATGATCCTAGGAGCTACGTTGTCTGGGGCACTTAGTGCCCCTGGTAGGGTCTCCCATGACAAATTGGTCTTAGGTGAAGGGTGAGACAAAGAACGGTTCGAAGGATCTTTCATGGCGGTTAAAACGAAGAGTCGGAGTACCCGGCCCGGAGGGTTACCGGGGTCCCACCCTGGAGCCAGGCCTGGGGTTGGGGCCCGTGAGCGAGCGCCTGGTGGCCGGGCTTTCGCCCATGGGGCCCGGCCGGGCCCAGCCCGAACCGGATACATGGGCTCGTCCAACTGTGGACCCACCACCCGCAGGAGGAACATGAAGGGTCCGGTGCAATGCGAATCGGGTGGCAGACCAAGGCGGGAGCCTTGGCGGTCCAATCCCCGGACAAGAAAACTAGTTTTTGGGACATGGAACGTCACCTCGCTGGCGGGGAAGGAGCCGGAGCTTGTGGCAGAGGTTGAGCGGTACCGGCTAGATATAGTCGGACTCACCTCGACACATTGCATTGGCTCTGGAACCCGAGACCTGGAGAGGGGTTGGACACTCTACTTTGCTGGAATTGCTCCGGGTGAGAGGCGGAGGGCTGGGGTTGGCTTTTTGTTAGCCCCGAGACTCTCTGCCTGTGTGTTGGGGTTTACCCCGGGGGACAAGAGGGTAGCTTCCTTGCGCCTTCGGGTCGGGGAACGGGTCCTGACTGTTGTTTGTGCTTATGGGCCAAATATCATTTCAGAGTACCCACCCTTTTTGGAGTCCCTGGGACGAGTGCTAGATAGTGCTCCATCAGGGGACTCCATTGTCCTGCTGGGGGACTTCAGTGCTCACGTGGGCAATGACAGCTTGACCTGGAGGGGTGTGATTGGGAGGAACGGCCCACCTAATCTGAACTCGAGCGGTGTTTTGTTATTGGACTTCTGTGCAAGCCGCAGTTTGGCCATAACGAACACCATGTTCGAACATAAGGATGCCCACCGGTACACTTGGTACCAGGGCAGCCTAGGTCACAGGTCGATGATAGATTTTGTAGTCGTATCATCTGACCTGCGGCCGTATGTTTTGGACACCCGAGTGAAGAGAGGGGCGGAGCTGTCAACTGATCACCACCTGGTGGTGAGTTGGATCAGATGGCAAGGGAACATGCCGCGTAGACCTGGCAGACCCAAACGCATATTGAGGGTCTGCTGGGAACGCCTGGCAGAAGAACCTGTCAAGACGGTCTTCAACTCCCACCTCCGGCAGAGCTTTGACCACGTCCCGAGAGCAGTGGGGGACATTGAGTCCGAGTGGGCCTTGTTCCACTCTGCGATTGTCGAGGCGGCTGTTGCTAGCTGTGGTCGTAAGGTGGCCGGTGCCAGTCGTGGTGGCAACCCCCGTACCCGCTGGTGGACACCAGAGGTTCGGGGAGCCGTCAGGCTGAAGAAGGAGGCCTACAGGGCGTGGCTGGTCTGTGGGTCTCCGGAGGCAGCAGACAGGTACCGGATAGCCAAGCGGGGTGCAGCAGTGACAGTTGCCGAGGCAAAATCTCGGGCGTGGGAGGAGTTTGGTGAGGCCATGGAGAAAGACTATCGATCGGCTCCAAAGAGGTTCTGGCAGACTGTCCGGCGCCTCAGGAGAGGAAGGCAGCAACTCGCTCACACTGTTTACAGTGGGGATGGGGAGCTGCTGACGTCAACTGAGGCTATAGTAGGACGGTGGAAGGAATACTTTGAGGAGCTCCTCGGTCCCACCGGTGCGCATTCCGAGGAGGAACCAGAGCTGGGAGGCCTGGGGATGGACTGTCCGATCTCGGGGGCAGAAGTTGCTGAGGTAGTCAAACAACTACACAGCGGCGGAGCCCCGGGGGCGGATGAGGTTCGTCCCGGGTATCTCAAGGCTATGGATGTTGTAGGGCTGTCATGGTTGACACGTCTCTACAACATTGCGTGGTCATCGGGGGCAGTTCCTAGGGAGTGGCAGACCGGGGTGGTGGTCCCCATCTTTAAGAAGGGTGACCTGAGGGTGTGTTCCAACTATAGGGGGATCACACTCCTCAGCCTCCCTGGAAAGGTCTACTCCAAGGTACTGGAGAGGAGGGTCCGATCGATAGTTGAATCTCAGATAGAGGAGGAGCAATGTGGTTTTCGTCCTGGCCGTGGAACTGTGGACCAGCTCTATACCCTTGCAAGGGTGACGGAGGGGGCATGGGAGTTTGCCCAACCAATCCACATGTGCTTTGTGGATTTGGAGAAGGCTTATGACCGTGTCCCCAGGGGCACCCTGTGGGGGACGCTCCAGGAGTATGGGGTGGGTGGCTTTCTGTTAAGGGCCATTCAGTCCCTTTACCAGTGAAGCGTGAGTTTGGTCCGCATAGCCGGTAGTAAGTCGGACCTGTTCCCAGTGAGGGTTGGACTCCGCCAGGGCTGCCCTTTGTCACCGGTTCTGTTCATCACTTTTATGGACAGAATTTCTAGACGCAGCCGTGGTGTGGAGTGTGTCGAGTTTGGTGGCAGGAGAATCTCGTCTCTGCTTTTTGCGGATGATGTGGTCCTCCTAGCTTCATCCAGCTCTGACCTTCAGCTCTTGCTGGGTAGGTTCGCGGCCGAATGTGAAGCGGCTGGGATGAGGATCAGCACCTCCAAATCTGAGACCATGGTTCTCGACCGGAAAAGGGTGGCTTGCCACCTCCGGGTCGGGGGAGAGGTCCTACCTCAAGTGGAGGAGTTTAAGTATCTCGGGGTCTTGTTCACGAGTGAGGGTAGGAGGGATCGGGAGATCGACAGGCGGATTGGTTCGGCGTCTGCAGTGATGCGGACGCTGAGCCGATCTGTCGTGGGGAAGAGGGAGCTGAGCCAGAAAGCCAGGCTCTCGATTTACCGGTCGATCTACGTCCCAATCCTCACCTATGGTCATGAGCTTTGGGTAATGACCGAAAGAACGAGATCGCGGATACAAGCGGCCGAAATGAGTTTCCTCCGTAGGGTGGCCGGGCTCAGCCTTAGAGATAGGGTGAGGAGCTCGGACATTCGGGAGGGACTCGGAGTAGAACCGCTGCTCCTCCGGATCGAAAGGAGCCAGTTGAGGTGGTTTGGGCATCTGGTCAGGATGCCTCCTGGACGCCTCCCCGGGGAGGTGTTTCGGGCATGTCCTGCCGGCAGAAGGCCCCCGGGTCGACCCAGGACACGTTGGAGAGGTTACATCTCCAATCTGGTCCGGGAACGCCTTGGGGTCCTGCCGGAGGAGCTGGTGGACAAGGCCGGGGAGAGGACGGCCTGGAGCTCCCTAGTTGGGATGCTGCCCCCGCGACCCGGACCCGGATAAGCGGAGGAAGACGAGACGAGACGATATTTGTAGACATTTTTAGATAGATATTTGTGTGCTAAAAAACCCCATAAACTTAAAAAATTTGTCATTCTTTATTGAAAAACAACAAATTACAAGTATACAGAAACTGTGGGAAAATGATAATGTGAAAGTATTGCTCTTTAAATGTAATGCT